CCAGACATGCCGGGTCACCATAACATTTCAGTTACTCATTATTTGCAAGTGGTCTAGCTTAGCTCCATCACAAGAGGCTCTTCTTGGTCTCTGCCTGTGCTCTGTGCATACTCTGTCTTGTGTGCTCTCCCCTTTGTCTGCCGAGTGACTGCCTGCTTGTTCAGAAGCCAGCTAAAATGGCCTCCAGACTTCCCACCCCCTTCTCTGTTGGCAGAATCAGCACTGCTCTCATTTGTCTTTAGCACGGAATGAATTTATGTTCACTGATATACTTTATTTATATGTACAACATCTGTCCAGAAAGTATCCAGGCACATAATTATAAAACATAAGAACATTAGTTAAAGAAGATACAAGATACAAGAAACATTGTACATAGGATGATGATGCCTCAGTCCTCTTCAAAGTAGGCACCTTGGAACTTCACATGGTTCTCCCAGCATCTCTTCTACTGTTCAAAAACACTCTGTAAAATCGTTTGTTGGAATCGCCATCAGCTGCCCCATTATCTTTTCTTGAATCTCACCAACAGTCTGAAATCTCTTCCCTTTCAAAGGTGATTTTAGTTTTGGGAAAAGCCAGAAGTTGCAGGGTGGCAAATCTGGGCTGTAGGGGGCTGAATCACTTGGGTAGCCAAACTTTGTTGATTGTAGCCCATACATGTTCAACATTCTCAGGTGTTTGGCTTATTGGACAAATTCCAGAATGTGGATCACTTTCAACAGATTCTTGACCATCTTTGAGGTATTTATGCCACACTTTGATTTGTGCTGCACTCATTGCATTGTCCCTGAAAGCCTTCTGAATCATCTGAATAATTTCTGCAGAGGAATGGTCAAGCTTCATGCAAAATTTGATGCAGATTCATTGTTCTACTTGCTCAGTCATTTTGAATGTGAGGGCCACACAGTACACATGCTCACTCAATGGATTTTACCACCTGCACTGACTAGTACAGTGAAGCCATTATTGTTCACACATGTGCATTCCACTCCACTCTTCTTGGATGCCAGGTTACATCAATGTCCCATAAATCATTCTTGTTTTCTTAAAAGTGACTGGGCTTTTTCTGTACAGACCTCATATACCTAATTCACTTATAACAGAAGAAATATTTCATAGTTGCACTGTGTTTTAAAAACATTTTGTGTCTTCTCTGTATACCATGTTAATTTAGCACATGGAAAGTGCTTAGGACAGCCTGTTGGGCTAAATCAAAAGCTTCATTACTAGCAGTAATAAGTCAAGTGATGTCTCAGTGGATAGTCCATGTCAATACTGCTTTGTGGTTGATGATGGTGAAGAAATGGACATAGGTGGGGAGGAAAGTCTGATGGCAAGTAATTTCCACCCCAACTAAGCAAATGAATACAGAGACATAAATCAGAGGTTGCCAATAACCATAAAAATTAATTACTATTATTTCATTATCTTCTCTCTTTGCCCTCTGCAACCTGGGCATTTTTCTGTGCCAAGAAAATCAGCTACCACAGTGCCCAGACTATAAGAAACACACAATAAATATGTCTTGTATGAGTGAATGAATGAACAAATGACATCATTCCAGCCCTTTCACTTTATAGGTAAAACAGACCCAAAGATGCAAAGAACAGGAAAGCAGAAAGCACCTCTCTTCAGCAGCTACCACCTTCACATTCCCTACACTGAGTTTCACTCTACAAAGAAAATTACACAACTGTTAAGTTAGATAAAGAACTTGAACCTCAAACCTGTGCCAAACCTGTGCCTATCAAACCACTTATCTGTGGTCACACAAATAGGTGGTAACACATGTTCTTATGTGACATACAATGTAGTCATGGACAAAAATATAACTGATTAATTGTTTTGGTTGGCAGGAATCTCTGCTTTTTATAAGCAGTGCTCTTTAGATGACAGCAGGTGAGGAGATAGCTGTAAGCGAGTAGCAAGATCACCAGACTTGAAGGCTGCCCACCAGAGTTCAGTTCTAGATCTTATTACCTGGCTCCAGGTAAATCCTTTCTTTTCTTGGAAGCTTACTTTTCTCATCAATAAAGCCAGGCACATAACACCAACCTGAAGTTGGGTGGTGAACAGATAATAACTATAAAAACACAGTTGATTTACACAAAAATGAGATATTGTTCTTATTAAGCTTATATAAGGATGAGAAAGCATGAGTGAAAGGCTTTCTCAGAGGCACTCTACCCTCCTTGTTCCTTTTGTTTCCAGTTGGCAATTTCAGTGCATCTCGGCATTTATGTAAACAGATAAAAATAGCATTAATATGTATTTTCCCACTATTGTGGTTTGTGTACAATATGTCATATTAAAATGAACTTCTGGTTCTCATCTTTCAAATTCACAATTCAACATAACTTAGTAATAGAGAAATAACAGTTACAAAGATATTTATTTTTTCTCATAAGCATCTATTCTCATAAGAAAATCAAATCACTCTAAGAACAGGGAAAATGGGAAAATTAACATCATTGCATGGATAGTGGTGACTCTTTGATAAGAAAGAAGGCCATTTATTATTTTTAATAACTTAAATATTGGCCTTTCAAATGTTTTGCATTAGATGCAGCTCTGTGCATCTATTTATAAATGAATCCAATCAGAAAATAATTTTTATTTCTCAGCTGTATAAACATTTCCTTTGGTTGATGACCTTACCTCCAACTTTTCACAGCCATACTGCCCTATGACCAATTATCAGCATTTGTTAATTCCTGTTGCTTTCAATTTTATGTTAAAAAGCCCTGTTAAAATTAAATAAATTTACACAAATAAAATAATAAGCTCAATTAATGTACATTTCCAAAATACCTTTTAAGATTTCTGATGGCCATTCATTAGCGAGCATTGGGGTATTAGGCATGAATAGAACCTCAGAAGTCACCTAGTTCTGACCCTTTTGTCTTACATAGTTTGGGAAATGAGGCCATGAGTGGCTGAAGAAAAAATAAATGCTCATTTTCAGAGAATAGGATACAGCTCCAAGATATCTTTTGAGCCCATTATGTTGTATCAGTTGTGATCACACATAATCAGTTGTGACATGTATAACTCAATTCTCCTTTATCCAAATGATATCAGGGGAAAAGGGGCCTTGTTCAACCTTTGCATTAGCTCATTGGATGTGGGCACTGATAGAGTGAAGATATAAATCTGGGAGAGGCCCGAATTGTTGGGGACTGCTCTGCCTGGTTTCAGGAATTGTAGCCCTAACATCCCCCACCCCCATGGCTAAGGATGAGCAAGTGACCTCCAGAATGTGAGCCACAGGAGACAAAGCTTGTTTCTGGTAGGAAATTCTGCCTCAATTTCCTGTCCCTGCCCCCAAAGCATGGTCAGAAGTCCATGAGTAGTAAGTCTCCTCACAGTGGAGAGCAACCTAAGCCAGACTTGACTACTTGGGAGGCCATCATGGAAAGACTAGGGGGCTGCAACAAAGAGTGAGCAGTGAACTCGTGCCACCCTGGCTATGTGACATAGCCCTAGTCCCCATGTCCTCTTGGAGAAGCACTTCCTGGCTCTAATCCACTTAAGCCAGAATACCTGTTGGGGAGGGGTGCAACTCCTTGCCTTGCCAGAGCAGATCCCAGGAAAAATTTGGCAGCACAATGAATTCCTGAAAAACCTGTGAAGTCTGCTCTGCTAAGAGTACTTTCATTCATATGTTAACGGTCTGAGCAGGAAACCCTAAAGTTTCTGCAAAACTTTCTTCCTGACAGACACTGACTCAGACTAAGCCCTCAGATTTTTTTGAAATGTTATCTACTGTTTGATCCTTGCCACCCTGTATTCCTGTGTATTACAACCCAATAAAAGCCCTTGGAGGAAGGGACTCAATGCCTTTTCCCCCTGAGAAACTGGCCACTGCTCATGGCCCTTCCCTTCTGAGGGATCAGCCACCTCTCCTCCCCAAGCAGATCATGTCATGTCATGTTTACTTTCATCCATGGCAGACGTGGGGACTTGTGAGAAAAGTTGCCCCTACACCGAATTAATTGGATGATAGGAGATCTTAATAGCCTGGGACAGGTGGCTACATTTAGCAGTGAATTTAGCAAAGAGAGATGCAAAGTCAGTACTTGCAGCACAGAAACCTATGGAAAATGTACATGAAGTGGGACACACGGCTTAATAGTAGCACATAACTTTTTTCAAAATGGCTGTTTTTTTAAAAAAGAAAAGTGCCAAGAATTTATTTTTGTTTTCTTCTTCAATTTGACCAAAGTTTATTTAATTTAAGAAAGGTACACACAGAACAATAAAGATGCTAAATATAGTGTAATCTATCCAGCTGGTATTGAGATTATAAGTCTGGAAACTGATAAATAGAAGGGGAAAATAGTGAGGGAAACCAGAATGTTAAATTGACTCAAACCAATGAATATTAAGAAACATTAAAGGAATCAAATCAAATCTATCTCTCTGGAAAAGCAAAAGACTGTATTGTTTGGGGGAAATGGGAATGCAAGGAACATGTACTCTCTCACAAATGAGGCTGATGACCAGGTGGATAGAATTCAGAGTGTGGTGTTGAAAAGCATGAGTCAAAACTGGTGCCATCATTTCCCAGTGGTATGACCAGGGGAATCTCTCAGAAACTGCAGATCAGCTTCTTGATCTCTAAGATGAGAGTTGCAATTCTACATTACAGCATTGCTGTAAATATTAGATTAAACAAACAACTTGTGGGAAACTACAGTACATGACATGCCATAGTCAACAAATACTGACCTTCTCCCTACTTGTCAGATAGTCATGGGAGATTTTTATTAGATTTTATTAATGAAATATCTTGTAGAAGTTTAAGTGATGACAAGGTTAGGCATCCAAGATCACAGTCAATGCTGTGTGTATTTATGTGTTTACCACCAGCATTTTGTTGTACTTTATGCCAATGAAGATTTCTCCTTTTTTGATTCCTTATGGGTTATGTATATTGCCTTTTAAAGCTGGCCAACATTTTCACTACTACATATTGGAACATAGTACTTACTCACCTATAAAGTGCAGAAAGGGGCCTCTTGTTTCCAGGTTTTGCTCTGTAGGGCTTGGGTTCTCCTGCCATATTGATATCTGGAAGCATAAAATGAAATATCATGGGTTAAGAAAATATGAAACCATTTGATGAAAGTAAAACAAGAAGTTTGATTTTTCTTTCTGCTATTTGTTGGTGCAAATGTTACATGTCATTCATTTATTCAACAAGTATTTATTGAGCACCTACTGTAGGCCAGGCACTATTTGAGTTACATTATGTACTGAGCAGGTTAGACACACAGCCTTGTAGAAGTCATCTTCTACAGGAAAAAAATAGATTTTTAGGCAACAGACATAATAATTAAGAATAATACATAACACATTGCAAGACTGTAATTAGTTAAAAAATTAAATATTGAACAAGGTAAGGGAATGAGAAATGCTAACCAAAAATGAAGAGGGACAGCAAGAGGGGAAAGAAAAGGGAGATAGAGAAACACATCCTTTGCTACAGGAACTAAAACTCTGACAAGTTATTAAGCTAAAAGAAGAAGCTTAAACACATGACAAAGAGTATTTGCATACAATTGACCAATATCAATCTTTAAAAAAATGTGTAAAACATAGGAAATTGGAAAGTTGGGTGACAAAAGTTGGAGAAACGACATAAACCATTATATTTAATACAGGTAACATTTTCAAAGGATGATAAAAAGTAAAATCTAAATGAGACAAACTTAAAGAAAATTTTGAAAGAAGTGAGGGACATTTTACAAGAAAAGAAAGAGAAGACTTTTATTTCTTGTGGAGTGGACTCAATACACTGTATTAAGGATAGTTGAGCTACCCTTAGTGAAGATAACCAATGTTTGTAGATAAATATAATGTATTTCTTTTTAAAAGCTAGCAAGAAATGTCCTTACAAACATTGAATGCTGTTCAAAGGCATAATTTCCCTTTTAGTGTATGGAAATCTATTCTAAAATATGCAAATTAAGATATTTCACACTGCTTTACTGGCCATCATAAAAAATCTGATGGTAGTGGACAGGGATGAGGGTGAAAGGGGTTGACTGTGGTCAAAGAACAAGGGACAGTAGTCAGGGAGCTCAGGTAATCAATGACCATAAAGTTTTGCCAAGGATGTGATGAAGGAACATTTCCTTTATATTGAAATTTATAAAGACAAAATTTAATTGTGTCTTCAGAATGACCCAGTTTCTTTAGAAGCCAAAGGTTAGGTTGTCATGTTTCTAGACCTATTTGCCTCAAAGGGACCATAAAAACCAAGTAAATGGACTCTTAACAGTACACTGTGTGGTTGGTGACAGAGAGACCACTGAGGCTTTCTTCCTTGATTATCTTGGTAGTCTGTAAATGACTTACAGGTGAGGCAAGAAGAATGACCAAAGTTCCATTTTATGCCACTCTGATAAGATAAGGCAGGGGTGTCAAACTCATTTTCACCAGGGGTCACATCAGCCTTGCGGTTACCTTCAAAGGGCTGAAGTAATTTTAGGACAGTATAAATGTAACTACCCCTTAACTGTTAAGGAGTTGAAATTACATTTGTCCCTTTGAAGGACATCGTGAGGCTGATGGGGCCCTGGTAAAAATGAGTTCAACACCCTTGAGATAGAGGCTTTGGAGCAGAATATTAGGGTACAGAAGTTAAGGTGTCATTTCTTAAATTCTTGAATTTTCAAACAGATTCATACCAAAATACTGATATTTAGAAATCTGATAGTGTCCTCAAAAAAGGATGTGGGTTAAATAACTTTCCACAAGTTCTTTTGAGATAGTCCACAAAATTCTAGTTGCAGTCTTGTATGTTATACAGACACACCTCTGGAAGTATACCAAGCTGATGGACTGTAGTCTCTGAGTATTGGGATCACATTTTTGTAGAAAAAGTTAGTAAAACTGAGTAAGCACCATTAAAAGCAATCTCTTGAAGAGTTTCTATTTGGGTTCACCTGTGTGGAGAAACTGCCCGGACCCCTTTTCCAGGCACAAGGACAAAGCAGAGGGAGCTAAAGCTTTGCCCATGTTCAAGTGATGACAACACAGCAGATTTCCATGTGGAGGGAGGACAGGCATGTGACATTATGAGTCTATCTACAGACGAACTGAGAAGCTTATAGAATGGAACATATCTATTTTGAGGTTCCAATATTTCAAGTTAGCATGAAGAAATACATGGAAAAGATAAAATTTAATCCAAAATTATCCTTCTAATATTAAACTTCAGATTAAAACATTTGAAAAATATTTTGTTGGGGGAGGTAGAAGAGGGTAAAAAGAAGATAAATGATGACAGAAGGAGACTTGACCTAGGGGAATGAATACACAAATACACAATAGAATATACAGATGATGTATTATACAATTGTATACCTGAAAACTATATAATTTTATTAACTAACATCATCCCAATAAATTGAATAAAAAAGTAAAAAACAATTGTTGAGCTACCAACTATACCTTCACAGTGAATTGCTTAAAATATATTAAATGTTCTAAAAATTTTAATGATTTTTCTTTTCTTCTTTAAACTAAATAAACAATATCAATATACCATGGCAGAAATAACTAGAAAGTTATAGACTGGAAGAAATCAATAAACTGAACTTCTCAGGATTTGAGGTACATGAAACATAGCAGAGGGGAGTCAGTTGCTTTTGTAAAGTGTCATCTTCAGGAATGACAGCCAGCATGTGGAAATATGTTTACATGGCTAATTCTAGGTAGCATACTACTAGAATTGATAGAGCATTCCATTGTTTTATGATTTGACTCTGGAATATACCTTGAACTCTACACCCAAGCAGGTAAGACTCTCCTGTCCACTCCCCCATTCCACTTATTCTATTGTTCCAGTGGGACTGACTTGACTATTCCTTTGACTTGGGGCTTCTATAGGGAAGTAATAATTTCACTCCACTTCTTATGACCTTCAGTCTCCAGCCAAGTGTTTGTCCAGCAGGTGCTCAAAAAGTCTTTTAGTCAACTCAGACCAGCAGGTGTATCCTTGCATGGTTTGTTGTGAGGCTAGCCAGACATACTTGGGCAGCATTTCCTAGTGTGGTATTTATCTGAACAGTGTTTGGAAGATCCTATTAGGTATGTGATAAAACAAGCTGTTAAAAATGTCATAATATATCCTTTTCTCAGATATTTGTAATGTATATTAAAGCATAAGATTCTGGAAAAAGAACCATTCAGTTACCTTTCACTCAAATGTTTTTATATATTTGTGAACATAGAGATATTTTGGGACAGCACTCCTATGTAATATCCAGCCAAAAAGAGTGCTTCTGGGATACTAATTTATGAGACACCTTGAAATATATAGAAAAATATTTTACATTTATTTTTTGTCAAGTATCTAATTTGGAATATCCTCATTTAAAAAGTCAATTTAATCTTCTAAATTACTTATTATTTACACTGTTACAATAAATGAGCACTTGCTATCCACCTCTACCACTTGTGGTCCCTGCAGGTAGGTGTCTGTCACGCCTAGAGAAATTTAACCTTGATATCAAAGTGATGTCTATGTCATTGAATAATAAAGCATCTACATTACTAATATGATTTTTAGATGCACAAAAGAATTAAAAGAACACAAATTTAAAGGAATTAGCAAAGAGAAATATTATTTTTCTTGGAATTTTTCTGTTTTGCTCCCTTCCCTAGGATCAAGTAAATGTTTAAATAATTCAGCCATGGCATAGAGATTGCCAGGAAAAAGTCATTTAAAGTTTTGTTGTCCACATTTGGAAGATTTAGGGAGTCATTCCTGTTCCATTGAATAAAAATTCAGGAGATAAAGAAAACAGACTGTTAAACTTGATGAATGAAGTCTTAAAACCATACATTACAGTATGATAAGCACCACACCATTAAAATGTGTTTTGCAGTTATTATTAGCTTAAATCCTCACAAAAATCCTGTGAAATAAGCAGAGTGGGGATCATTATTCTCATATCATGTATAAAGATGTTTGAGAGACAGAGAAATTAAATCACTCCTATAATGATGTCATTATCTCATTTCACAACAGCTGCCTATTATTGAACTTGGTCCATTGCCAGGCACTGAACTAGTGAGAGACGGGAACCCTGCTTTGGGATAGGACAGTCTGAGCATTAGTGACAACTAGGAACTATAGCACCATCAGACTGTGTAGAACATTCCCTACTGTCTCATGGCTCTTAACCACATTTGGATGTCACATTTTCTCTTCCACTCAAACCCAGCCTCTCTGTGGAAAGCAGCATGTACACCAATGAGCTCTGAGTTCCAGGAGTTCTGGCATCATGGGAGGCTGTGTGATTGAAGGAATGCTGTGGGAGATTTTCTGGCAGCAATGGGGAAATCCATTTGACTCTCAACTGAGCTGCCTGAGATTTCTTGTCTAGGTAGGGTCACAACCTGTGGTTAGATAGGGATACCTAGAGGTGCTCTTACCCTAAGGAAAGAATGCACCAGACTTGCAAATGCAAGCCCAGCTCACCCTGTGCTCTAAAAGGGGAACGTTGGAAGCATTTTGAGCCTGAAGCTGAGTGACAGTAGTGCCCATTTTGTACAAAAGCAAATGGCTTTCTAACCTTGTTGTTTTTCCCTTTGCATAATCAAAGCTAGTTTTAACATCTGAAATATGTATGTCCTAAATGGTATGTTTAAATATTCACTGTTACAAAACTGAAACTGTAGTATCATTTTACTGGACAGTCACTGAATTGTGACCATCTTAATGAGCATTTGGACCTAGTTTCATAAATTAGTTCTGAGTCAGCGCTATGGCAGGATGGCCTCTGGTTATTAGATTGCTAATGTAAAGGTCACTGGTTGGCCAGACTCCCATTTGTTAGCAGAAAATACTCTGTGCTCATGGGTTCTGTCTGCAAGGACAAATAAAAGTGGAAAGTTGAACTTACCACTAATTACCTGGTAAGCTGATCATTGCCTGTGACTACTTTCCCCCCAACCAAAATTGAAGTAAAAAGAAGTGTGCATGTATTCATACTTAGCTACCCTTTTAAAATTTATTGTCTTTTGACAATAATAAGAGTCCATTCTTAGCGTACGAG